AGGTTAACCAACGCCTTGGAACTTTGAGTGACTTTGATCCTAGATTAGCAACAAAGGTTGGGCGACCATGTGGAAACTTGGGATATGATGGCGGTACGTATCCTTACCTCATGGTGGAGGCGCCCAGACCGGGTCAGCCAGGGACAGCGGATAGTTAACGGAACGTTAAGCTCTGGGCTCCACTCCACTGTAATTGCTCTACCGAGGCGAGAGCCGCAACATGGGATAGCTGCATAATATCTAAAACAGCAACATTCAAGATTCCCAGCTCAGAAGACAAGTCCTGTCGCTATACTTTCAACGCAGCCCCTATCGCATCAAAAACAAAATGCCTTCAGATTTAACAGCGTATCTCGCTTCTAAGTACTTGGTTGCCGACCCAAAACCAGCGAAGAAACGGAAGCGCAAGCGCGGCGCCGACGCCAACAATGGCCTTCTTATTACAGACGATGACGATTCAGGCTGGGGCAACACCAATACGCAGCAGGATGACGAGGGAATAGATGCTCCAGTTACAGTATCGGGGCGATCTGCTGAGTTTCGAAAAGCCAAGAAGAGCAATTGGAAGTCAGTTGGAGGAGACGCGACATCAAAAGATGACTCGGCTGCGGCTGCAGACGCGATTCTAGCATCAGCGGCAGCGGAGCAAAACGCAGCTCGCAATGAAGACGAGGACATGCCTATTATTGAAGATGACGGATCAGCTGTGAAGATGAGCGACGGAACACATGCAGGACTGCAAAGCGCAGCAACTGTTTCAGCGCAACTTAAACGGCGGCAAAAAGAAGAGCGCGAAGAGTTCGAACGGCACCGCAAGTCAAAGGAGGAAGAAACAATATATCGAGACGCTACAGGCCGAAGAATCGACATATCAATGAAGCGCGCCGAAGCACGACGTGCCGCCACTGCGGCCGCTGTTGAAGCAGAGGAAAAGGAACGCCTGGTCAAAGAAGCTCTAAAGGGCGACATACAGCTTGAGGAGGCTCGTAAGCGTCGAGAGAAGTTACAAGATGCCAAGCTTATGTCATTCGCGCGTACAGCCGATGACGAAGAAATGAACCAGGAATTGAAAGATCAGGAGCGCTGGAACGATCCTATGATGCAGTTCATGGCCGAGAAGAAGCAAACAGGCACAGGACAGAGCAAAAAGTCAAAACGTAAGCCAGTTTACGCTGGCGCAGCGCCGCCAAATCGGTACGCGATCAAACCAGGCTATCGCTGGGATGGTGTCGATCGCGGCAATGGCTTTGAAGCTGAGAGGTTCAAGGCACTTAACCGTAGAGAACGGAACAAGGGACTTGAATACTCTTGGCAAATGGATGAATGAAAGGATGGAGTTCGATGCAGATATTCTATTATATACCCATTTTTAGCACTAAACTAATTGACCTTATCCTCCATAAGTAATGATCTGAATGTCAAGATGTATCCTGCTGTTGGATTCCGAAACTACGTCTGGTTCGGAGTCCGCTAACGAAGAAGTCGCAAGGCAAATAAAACTCCAGAGGAGAAAAAAAGACACAATATTGCCGCCCTGATTGGGTATCTACTCTTTTACGATCTTCGACGAAGTCGCTTGTCCGGTCCATAGTCACAAAGCTTCTTGACAAGCTGAATCCACTCAGTCTTAGACATCTGGCCTGGTCTATCACCCAGGCGGTGGTTGAAGAGCTTGATCAACTCGTTAACGGTGATGCCTTCGGTGGGGATCTTGTCGAGAATTTCAGATGGTTCGACAGCTGAAGTTCCAGGTGAGCCAGGAGAAGCAGCTGCAATACAATATTAGTTATGACCTTTGTCTGCAATCAGTCCAAAGAAAGACTTACCACCCTGGGTTGGGTTGGGGCTGCCAGCCCTAGATGCCGAAGGAGTGCCCCGAGCACTGCTACTAACCAACTTCAACTTCTTCCTCTTGGGTGCAGCTCCATCTGACATCTCGCCAGCAGTTGCCTCTCCATCACTACCAGATCCAGCAGCCGCGGGTCGACGAGCGGCTCCGCCCTGTACAAGAGGAGTGCCAGACCTACTTCCCGTGGCAGATGGGACATTCTTCTTAAGCTTTTTGCGGGAAGATTCGTTTCCACTGGACTCGGAGAGTGCTGGCGAGCCGGCTCGCTTGAGCGACTTGCTCTTCTTAGTGCCTTCGGGCTTCTTCCCGGAGGGAGTGTTGGTACCCTTGGATCCGGAACCACTCTGGTTCTTGTCGTCCTTGTTGACGTCCTTCTTCTCGTCATCTTTCTTGTCTTCCTCTTCTTCCTCGTCGGAGGAGTTGTCATCAGACTTGAAATATCGGTTAGCATTATTTTGACCCAAGTTGATAAAAAAGACTTTACCGAGCTGCTCCATGGATTCTCTTCGGAATCGTCACTTTCGTAGATATCCTCTCGATCTCTCTTGATCAATGCCTTCTTGGTGGCTTTGCCGAGCTTCTGTCGTAGGATCTCTTCTCGGAGTTGTTCATCCAGTTCTTTGTCCACTTCTTGCTCGTCACCTTCTCCGAATAAGTTGGCACCGAGCTGTTCCCGGCGAATGCGGTCCTTGGAGTCCTTTGTGTCTTCATCGTCATTCCTTTCGAACATTGGAGCCTCATCATCATCTTGAAATTCATCGCCCGACATATCAATCTCATCATGCTCCAGTTTCTCTGACCTCGAGGCAGCCTTGAACGTCGCACTTTCGGTCTTGACCATCGGGCCACTTCCATAGAACATTTTTCTTGTGGCCTCCAGGTCTTTTCGCCCAGCTTTCTTCTCTTCATCTCTCATGACCCAACGGCCCACATCCACCTTCTTACTCATGAAGGCCTCCACCTCATCAATGTCGTAAGTCTGAAAGGGCGGCTTAGACGTAAATTTGTACCACTTCTCCAGGGGGATCATGCGGAAAACAGACTCATCGATCATGAAAGCCACGTTAGATCCAGAGAGTGTGTCCACAAAGTTACCAACCCAAACATTTTTACCCTCTGCATCTTCGAGATGCCATGGAAGAGCTTCTTCATATCGCAGGTCGGACGCCTTCTTAGCAGTTTCAGTCTTTGGCGCCCGGTTGAACGTCGTCTTCTCCTCTTTTTGCTTCTTCGGTCGCTTGGGATTAGGATCTTTGGCCACAGGCGCAATCTTGGCCTGATCAATGGCGCGCTGAGCCTCCCGTTCAGCTTTCCTCTGCGCCTGTCTTTCCACCTCTTCCTCGTCACCCTGAGGCACTTCCGGTGCTTCGGTCTTGACAGCCCTTCCTGGAGGGGGTTGGCGCGCATCTCGTCGGTGCAATGTTACGGGTCGTGCGAAGTCGTCCTGGTCGGTTGGATCGATGGGTTTTCCTCCTGCTTTAGATTGAGTGAACTTCATCATGTGGTATCGAATGCCGTCGAGAAGATCCTTCTTCGTTGTCATAATGGGGATGTCCTTGCACTCCGGTGGCGGTGGCTCTGACCAGCCACCATTTTGACGTCGAATCTCTTCAATGTTTGGCTTTGTTCCATTTAGCCTACCCGAAGCAGATTGCGCTGTCGGCCTGGGTGGTGGTCTTCGAGAAACGAGGGGGTTTGCCTTGGGATTTTTACGCAATGGCCGAAGGGGGTTTGGCTTCTGTTTCTTCGGGGCACCATTTGGATACCCAGGCGCGTTGGCGGGCGGATGGCCTGAGGGAGGCGGCGCGCTCATGTTGATGAAGAGGTCGCGCAATCGCGAAAGAAATCCTGGAAATGCTTTGACGACAACAGGTCACAACCTGTAGCCTAGCTCTGCGCAGAGCGCGAGGCAGACTGAATCAACACGCGTATCTGGAGGAGTTCGTATATTAAAAAGACAGGGAGATTGATGGTGTTTGTTTTATCAATACAGGAAGAGGCTGACTTAGCCAGGCGAGGACGCAAAGGAGCTTTTTATGCCCGGACAAAGATGATGCTGAATGCAGGGACAAAGGTCCTGAGCAAGATAGTGCACCTACCTTATGACGATGACAAGGGCTCTGAAGTAAGAAGCCACATGTGGCTGTGCGCTCCCCAGTTGCCAGTGTTTCTGAGTCTTGCGACCTTTAGCAAATTACTAGCATTACCTACTAACCTAGGTAGGTAGCTACCTAGTATGTACCTACTATATAAAGACCACAGGTTGTGTCTCTTCGAGTTTTACACTTGAGTACCTTACCCCTACCCAAACAAAGTATCCGACGAAAAATATTGTTAAGCGATGCTCTGGCCCTGAAACAAAAAGGTCATACGTAGAGTTCTCCTATAAGCTTACTATTTCTTGGTCGCGTGGGAATGGCGTATGGTTGGTTTGAATCCTTTTATCTAACAGAATTTTATTTGATACACAGTGTCGATATGCGAATGCTAGTATTATTTGCGATAACTTGCCGAGCTATCAGAAGCACCTAGGTGTTGATTTTTGTATGACAGATAGGTAGGTACCTAAGTAGGTAGGTTGGTTTTACACACGAGCCTACTAGTTGTTTGCACAGTGAGTAATCCTAAACACGACACTGTAGTACCTTGACGAACAGTGAACTCATAACTGCATTTTGTGGAGATCACCAGCTCCAACCAAGTTCAGCACATTTCAATATCACACCTGTACGACTTCATTGCCGCAGTCACGGACCCCAAACGAACAATTATGCACCCAGTCCATTGTTCCCTCTAGTCTCCCATTTCCTCCGTCCTTTGTTCATCTCTTCACTCCATGTTGGTAGGACGGGGCCAAAACCTCTACACATCTTTGCCTGCCAGGACCCCTCCCTTCACCCAGTTGAAAGAAAGCGCAGAACTGAATTGAGGTTATTGCATGCATCGAGTCTACCGCACGCTAGGTTTTATGCGCCTTATCACGCAAGAGAGTGTTCTTTACAGAAGCGAATGTCGGGAGAGTGTTCGCTGAGCGGAATGCAACTATCCACACCCTAGTCCACATTCTTACAATAAAGAGTCCTATCGCGAGGAGCCCAACGGCAAGGCCAACTCCGTTACTCTATCGCATAGTGTTTGTCTCGAGTCGCATATGGTTCCTCATCGGCGTGAGCCTCAAGTGGAGGCCCCTGGTGACTCCCAAGCAGGTCTTGAAAATCACTTGCGCAATCTGATCATCTCCAATGGCCCACCATTACACGATTCTGTGCCCAGGGCTTCTCTACAACCTGCTCCTATATCTCAGAGCGGCTCAGCCAACAGGAATAACTCTGTTGAAACGTCCGACGGTACCCCCCATCAGTCCAGACCTGCACGGAAGCGGCTAAACCAGGCACAAAGACGCCAAATGAGCTCTCAACTATCCATATCTATCGATCCTCGGGCCCAGCAACCTCCCCCAGATAGCGCTTACCAAAGTCCTACATCTCAATACTCCCGTCCCTCTCAGTCTTATCAACGTTATATGCATACTGACTCTCAGCCATGGGGAGCTCCCAACGAAAATCGTCAAAGTGGCTCATTTTCCCATCGCCACTGGAATGGCCCTCAGCAATCTAGGTATCGAGGCTATGATAATCCTCCTCCTTCCTCCCGTGGCCGCCCTAACTCTATGCCAATCCAATCCAATCGTGGTTCTGGTTACTTGTACAACGCCAGACACGCAGTTCAGTTTCATCCTGAGGAAATTGCAGCTCAGGATGCTCTGCTTGACCAACTCTGTTTTCAAGTCGTTTCCAATTCTGAAATCGAAAGATCGGAAATAGCAGAAAAGGAGGAATTCCGTTGCAGAATTGAAACCATTAGTCGAGAGGTCATTGCCAACTACGAGAAAGAGGAAATGCCAGAAACAGACTTTCAACCCCTCACAGTTCAGCTGAAATGCTTTGGTAGTTTGTCTTCAGGCTTCGCAACCAAGGCTTCAGACATGGATCTTGGTCTTCTTTCACCAATGTCTGCCTCTCAGCCTGATGCTCCCGGATCTCCTATACCGCGCCTCCTAGAGAAGGCTTTCTTGGAAGCTGGTCTAGGGGCGAGGCTTCTGACCCGAACTAGAGTCCCCATCATCAAGCTATGCCAATCCCCGCCGGAAAAGCTTCGGCAAGGACTTCTTGAGGAGAGATTTCGATGGGAGAATGGCCTTGATGAAGCCCATGAAGCTCAGGAAGATGATGAAACCGATCCACAAGCAGCAAACAGTGAGCATGACAGTCAGCAAGGCCACCTTGCAGGGTTTCAAAACAGTCCCACAACTGTCGTTGAGCCCGTATCACTGGATCCCGTCCAAGACGGCACGAAAGCAATTGAACTTAAGCAAAATCTCAAAAGCTCTCTCTCCTCGTACTATGGCTTAGCCAAGCGAGTTCTTCGTAGAGCCGGTGGCCGTGATGCTACCATCTCTAATTATCGCGTACTCTCCGATGATGATTGGATTATATTGAACAGAGTGAGCGAGGCCTTCATCAGCGGTCTTGCAGATACTCGTCTTCGTGATCGCCTGTCCACGTACCCGTCCCTCTCCTTTATACAAGATGCAGAGAGCTCCACCAAACGATCTTTGCTTGGGGTATACACCCAGGTCGAAGGCGAACATATTCGGCAGCGCTGGGAGGAGAGTGGTGTCGAAGAGCGTAACCCCGCTTCTCAATTGTTGACTAGGCAGGCCATGAAGGTGTGGGAAGATGCTCAATACAGAGAAAACTTTGGGACCGATCCCATCTTTTTCACTAAGGAACTTCAACTGGCCCTTGACAAGCTTAAACGGGCCCCTTCCGTGCAATTCGTGGTTTTGGAACAGGGTCAACATGAGGCGCCTGCGTCATACTATACGAGGGCCCTCTACATTTTTAACGGACTAAAGCCAGCTAATGAACAAGCTATCGCAAAGTGGACGAGTATGCTTGTTACTCAATATGTCAGCGGTGTCCATCAGGAGGAGAATCGAAAAACGTTACAGACTTGCATAACCACATGTTCTGAGTCCCTATCGCTTAGAGGAGTCGGGCTCTTGCACAAATGCATCCATTTAGCGTGGGAATTTGAACGAGCATTAGATAAGGGTTCGTACAATGAGTCCGTCGTACAGGATGTTAAAGACTATATCGCGCTACTGCGGTCACCTTTACAACAAGATGATCCCCTGAGGCTTGGCGACGGGTTCTTCATCCCCATCACACCAACAACGGTAGACCTTGTGGCAAGGATCCGACAACTTCCAGACCCTCACAAGATGGCTCCGAACCAGCCACGCGATCGATACAGAGATAATTTAGAATTTCCCAAGGCAGGCGCAGGTGTGCAATGTGACATCAACTTCTCCGCCCATTTGGCTCTTCATAATACGGCTCTTCTACGATGTTACTCTCACACCGATCCGCGCGTCCGGCCCATGGTCTTGTTCGTCAAGCATTGGGCAAAGACTCGTGGGATCAACTCTGGATATCGTGGAACCCTTAGCAGCTATGGCTACGTTTTGATGGTCCTTCATTATCTAGTCAACGTCGCTGAGCCCTTTGTTAGTCCAAATCTCCAGCAGCTCGCTCCTCCTCTACCCCCAGGGCTCTCGCCTGTCGAATACGAGGATATGGTTATGTGCCGTGGCCACAACGTTCAGTTTTGGCGTAACGAAGAGGAAATCCTGGAGCTGGCACGTGCAAACCAGCTAAATGGTAACAAAGATACCATTGGTCACCTCCTGCGTGGCTTCTTCGAGTATTATGCCCATAGTAGTATGCTCAGCACTTCCACGGGCAGGGGATTTGACTGGGGAAGAGATGTGCTCAGTTTGCGGACGCCAGGTGGTTTGCAGACAAAGCAAGACAAGGGTTGGACTGGCGCCAAAACAGTCATCGAGGCTCAAAATGTTGGGCCTCATCCGCCGCCTCAGCCCGACCAAGCGTCTTCCACGGCAGTACATCCTAATGAAATTACTGTGAAGGATACGGGAGCACAGCCCAAGCAGGGCACGCAAGGCAGCGTCACAGGTAAGAATGGAGAATTCAAGGAAGTCCGTCACCGCTATCTCTTTGCTATCGAGGACCCCTTCGAGCTGGATCACAACGTTGCTCGAACTGTAACACACAACGGTATTGTGTCAATTCGCGACGAGTTCCGTCGGGCTTGGAAGATTATCAAGTCGGCTGGCAATGGCAGCCCTCAGGAAAGCTTACTCCGGGATGTGACCGATGTAGAGGAAGAAGGCAGTCCTTTATCTCGCCTCCTGGATGAGATTCATGGAGCGGGTCGATCCCGAAACACTTGATTGTCTAATTATGATGTTGAGACGATGTACCAGGTTGGGGACGGGTCAGGGTCAGGATCGGTGCTGGCGCAACAAAATATAATCGTGTGGCTCAATATTTCAGTCTTTGACAATGGCTAGACTTGGTATAATTTATCGTTCGTTTGATGTTCACCATGTAACAAATTACACAAGAGTAGTCAGCTTCTTTTGAGCTTGGTATCAGTATGCATTGTGATTTGTGATGCTCAACTTGATTGAGATAGAACGTCAAAGAAGTTTCTAGACGAGGACTTGGCAGAGTTGTTCTGCCTTTTGGGGGCATCATTTTTACCCACCTTCCGCTTTTTCTTGTCTTTGGCAGTTCTTTTTGGCACTGCGTCGATACTGGCATTTTCCAATGGGACAAGCCTAGAAATTGCCTTGTAAATTTGGCCCTCATTGCTTCTCTGCAGAAGCACAATGGTTCTCTCCACATCAGGAAACTCCGCCAGAGGTGGCAATGACGACAGCATGTCGTTTAGTTCTGGTAGGGTTCTTTGAAGCTGGCCAAGTGAGATGATTTGCTTCAAGAGTCGAAACGAGTAAAAAGCGGCTTGGAGATGAGCAACAAAGTGAAGAGTGTCCCAAGTAATTTTCCCAAAAGTTGGGGCTTGTAAACTCTCTTCCAAAATCTGCAGCGAATGTGAACGCTTGCCAACTTCATGGCTATATCGTATATCAAGAGTCAGGCACAGGATGTACCAAGCCCGAGTTATGTCGACTTGTGATCCTGCTCTGATCATAGTCATTAGCCTGGCCAACTCATGAGACCAAGCTTTCGCTTCCTTCTGGGGTAGTAAAGGCACCTGCCGCCCTTTTTGCGCCAGAGTGTTGACCCTCCGGTACTCCTGAACAGTTGTTAAAGCACCAGGAATGATCCATCGGGCTACTGTGTAAGCCAATTGTCGAATTGGCGTGCTCTGTTCCCAGGCATTTCCCCGCGAAGGACTCTCTAGCAGAGTAGGAAGAAACATCTTGGGATCGCTTATAGTGTGCATGTGACCACTCTGGGGTCCCAGTTGCAGTATCATCTCCGATATTCTGGGGTCCAGTGAACCGATTTCTATTTCTTTTCCGCATGATGAGGTGGGAATTGGTGCAACTACATGGTCTAGATACTCGTGGCAGAACTCAGTGTAACCCGTTTGGTCGGTGATTGGTTGTGTACACTCCTGCAAGAGTTGTGGAAGTGTCGAATGGGCGGACCGTTTTCGTTCGTAAGCAAATCGGCACATCTCAGCAGAAGACGCAAGCTTAAGTTTCTCGCAGATGTGGGAGGGGCTGAAGCTTGCGCATGCGAGATTGGACTGATCATCAAGATAAATGTCGCGGAGAAAGACGACACTTCCCTTGCCAAGATCATGGACTAAAAGATCCGAGTCGGAGGTGAGAACCGTCCCGCCCGATTGTGACAGATGCTGTGCGCAATATGCATCTGCCTCACCCGGAACAAGAATTACTATCTTATTGTAGCGCGGCGAAAACCTCAAGGCATCAATGATAGCAGGTACATGAAAACTGGGTGGCAATGGCGGTTTTCCTCGTGGTTTAACTGCAGAGAAGAGGACCGGAGCAACCTCATTGGCAACCGAGAAGTACGACGGGAAGAAACCATTGGTTTCAGATGCATGTGCGGCCTTCAATTGACTGAGACTTTTGATCATGCGCTCCATGCGAACGGGTTCTTTTCCTTTTGGGAGGTATCCGTCAAAATATATAGCGTCCCTGTCACTGTTAGTCTCATCCAAGCAACAAGAGACAAAGAACTTACACGCCCACACCACGCCGAGTGAGTTCATCCAACCATGCTACAGTGGTCTCGCCAAGAAGTTTGTATGACGGCTGGGGAATACCATGTCTGTTGCAGATGTACAAAATATGATACGCTAAGGCTGGCCCATCGATGACTACGTGTTCATTGTTAAGACCTCCATGAACGACGTAGGGCTCCAGGGTAGGTATGAGACGAGGAATCCCCATGTTGCGGGAGGGTTTCGAGGTTAGTGAAGCTCTATCCCAATTCCATTCAGAAAAAAAGACCAAGTTGCTATGGTTCAAGAGAATAACTATCTCTTTCCAGGCCCCTCAATGTCGTTTTTACTTAGAAATCAGTCGTAGGAGCTCCAGGGCTGCTGCTTCATGGTAAAAGGGACCAGAGCCTCAGCTAATCGAGCAAGAATTTCCTGGGCCTTGACTGAGAAATGTCGAGGCTGTGACGCAGTTTCCGGGATGCCCCGCTTAGTGAATAACTTGCGGGCGGTATCACAGTGCTGGACACTGTAAGTCTTCCGGCTTCGGGATGCTTGATTTGGTGCCAAAATTGACCTTTGACTCCACTATTAGAGAAGCCCAGCTCCTATCTACAGTTAGTGTCAGATTTCCGACACACAGTGCAACGAGCCGGGGCAAAGAAAAAAAAAACCTCCAACCTGAACGCGGTTTTCCTTCAATCTCAACTTTTCTTTCTTCCTCCATTTTCTTCAACGCTTCACCCTTCCACGTCGGTCGATGGGCTGGTCAAGATGCGCAATACACTGATCTTCGCAGGCAATTCCTGCCCAGTCCTCACAGGTCAAATCTGCGAGAATCTGGGCATGCATCCTGCCAGCGCTGAGCTTACCCAGTTCTCCAATGTGAGCGTCCCTTGCCCTCGTGCTCGTAGCCATGGTCATTCAACATGACCCTTCTTTGGCCAACCATCACGATCACTCCTCTGCAGGCCCATATTTGGCAGTCAAACAAGCTGCGTGCTTTGAGCTAACCAGTGCCCAAGGGTGAGACGAGCGTCAGAATTCTGACAAGTGTCCGAGAGAAGGACGTCTTCGTTGTCCAATCAGGCAGCCCCAGCATCAATGACTCCATCATGGAGCTTCTCATCATGATCTCGGCCTGCAAAGGCGGTTCTGCTAACAAAGTCACTGGTTCGTGGTTCTCGTCCCCTGCTTGAGACCTCAATCGGCTTACTTGTTACGTCCAGCCGTTCTTCCTTATTTCCCCTACAGCCGCCAGTCAAAGAAGAAGTCTCATAGAGGTGCGATCACTGCTCGCATGCTTGCCAACTTGTTGGGTGTTGCTGGCGTTAAGCACGTTATCACTGTCGACCTTCATGCCTCGCAGATGCAGGGCTTCTTCAAGTGTCCCGTTGACAACCTGCACGCAGAGCCTATCCTTGCGAAGTGGATCCGCCACAACGTGTCTAACTGGCGCGAAGCGGTCGTGGTCTCCAAGAACGCTGGAGGAACCAAGCGGGTGACATCGCTTGCGGATGCTCTCAAACTCAATTTCGGGATTGTTACTACAGACAGGAAGCGTGTGAGTAACATGACAGCGAGCATGATCATGAGGCACTTCGATCATAATGTAGAGCGTCAACCCACGCCGTTGGAGTCTAACCGACCTATTCCTTACCGTGGACCACGGCCTTCCGAGCGTGCTGTCGAGTCCGAGGCTACTCCTAAGAGGCAGACCACCCCCCCTCGCTCCTCGCGAATTGTGGCGGACTCACAGGGCTCTCCTACACGCGTCAACAGCTCAGCCCGTTCAGTGACTCCCAATACTGCCGAGGCTACGGACCCTAACACTACTCCCCCTGCTGGATCACCAGATGGTTCGGTTGATGGTGAGGCGGATTATGATGATCATAAAGCGTCTGAAGTTACACAGGGCCGTTTGGTTCAAGGCCGTATCGTCGAGGATGACTATCCGTCTCCTGATCGATCTGTTGTGGACGGCAGTGTGGAAGATGATCCCATGACCATGTCTCATGCTTCATCATTCTTCGTTCCTGAGCCCCAATCTCTCGGAGGATCTGGTGACGCTGCGGCAAGTTCCGATGAGGAAGACAACGCATTCGAGGATCCAGGCGCCGAACATCTCATCACTCTAGTCGGAAACGTCAAAAACCGGACCGTTTTCATCGTGGATGACATGATTGACAAGGCTGGCTCTTGGATCGCTGCGGCTGAGACAGTAGTCAAGAAAGGCGGAGCAAAAAAGGTTTATTGCATGGCCACCCACGGTGTTTTTGGCGGCGACAGCCTGGAGCAACTGCAAGCATGCGAGTGCATCGACCAGATTGTTGTGACCAACAGCTTTCCAATTGATAAGGACAGGGCACGCAGCATCAGCAAGCTGGTGGTTCTTGACCTCTCATTCCTACTGGCAGAGGCCATTCGACGTAACCACTATGGTGAGGCTCTCTCGCCTCTCTTCCAACATTATGGTGATTAGATAGGACTGCATTGCAATGCTTCCAATCTCACATAGTCACCCGTTGCTACGCAATCGCGCCTAGTCTGCCTTGGCAGCTAAGTGCTTACCGACACTACCATTTGTGTTTTGATGATTACTATTCATTTTTAGCGAGGCGTCTGGGGGAAAGGACATATTGGTACCATATGCTGGACCATTGTACCCAAGGATGAAAATTCCGATAAAAAAGCAGAGTAGGTGATGAATTACGATTTCAGTTCCTGGTCTTTTGGTTTAGGTTCGTGATGTGATGTAATGTAGCGCTCGCCTTTTGTCAAGGCTCAGTCAAATGCAACCCAGCGGTGCTGTCACTTGTTGACGGCAAGGGCCCGATTCACCCCAGAATGGGTTCTTAACGGAACGTTGGTAGAATAATCTTTCGGTCTTAGAAGGCCTGCAACTTAGAACCGTCACGGATTCGTGTCTCTTCGGGGATAAATGAGTTGTGGGCAAGAGAAATTTCCGAACATTTTGTGAACAGTATGCCCTTGATAGCACTTTGTTTGTATCGAATATTGCTGTTTAAGTCAACATCTCTACCTTTCTATAACTAAGACTCTTGTTTAATACAGCTCATACATAGTAATTGTACTATATTTTCGCTTGAAACTTTGTTATGAAGGCTGTTTATTATCTTTACTTTCAGCTGTCTAAGTCTTTCGGTGCATAATACCGGCACCAGCCTGTGGTCCAGAAGATTAGCCAAAGCCTTCGACTCTTGAGTTTTG